AGAGAACTTTTTTCTGGGAGGGTTAAAAAAAAACAATAAAATTGGGTTTGTTTTTTTGCCTTTTGTTTTGAGGTGTGTTTGGATTTGGGTTTTTGGAGGATAATAGTTTTGAATTTGATAACATGGGAAGTTAGTGTATGGCTGTATGGTATTTGTTAAATAAATAAATGAAAGCAGAGTTTGGTTGGAAGGTGGGGTTTGTGTTAGGCTTTGTTTGGCAGAGCTTTTCTTTCTTCTCTCTTGGATTCGCTTTTTAGGCTCATGGTTGTAAACTTAACATTGGGTCGTGGCAATCTCATTTTCTGCTTTTACACTATTCCCAATTCTCTTCCTATTCAAAAGCATGTCATTTTTTTCATCTCTTGTATTAGATAATGTTGCCTTGCCCCCTTACACTAATAAAATTCCAAACTTTGCTCGTTCTTAGTCTAATGAACTACTTTTACCGACTCAATATTTTGGAAGGAATCTTTTAGCTAGCTTTGTATCTCTCTAGTGGACGATGGGATGAATACTACCTCATTTAGTGGTTCTCGTGTCACCACAAATGACATTAGTGATCAGAACCTATCCCTGACCAACTCGTGAGTAGATCTCAGGTCGCTTCAATTTTTTCAAGATCGGAGAATGATATTTTCCTACCAAATATGAAAAAGTGCAAGTTATATCAAACATATAACTAACTTTGTACGAATGAATTGGAAACTTGTATTCAAATTATTTTGTTCAAGCATATAACATATGTAATCTAGTATAATAACTTGCTCGCACCCTGTAGTTCACCATAGTTCTACCTTAACATAGAGAGTTGGTTAAAAATGGTACGAAATTAACACTATTCTCGATTCTGAAAGGGATGAACTTTGGTATTAATACGAGATCTAACAAGCCGACTTATTATTCAAAATGAGGAGGAAATGATATTTGCTCATTTTTGAACAACTTTTAAGTGATTTTACTAGCTACTCACAAACTAATTTCGCTCCATTATCAAAAAGATGAACTTCTTCATTCACATGTAGTCCATCCAACTACCTCACTCGATTTCTATTTAATAGAATGTAGCACATCAGCGTTCTGTTAATCTCGACAAAGACGAGAGATAAAATATATATATATATATATATATATATATAAGTTTGGTTAGGTATGCAAATAGAGTATGAAATGGGGAAGATTTGATTGGAATAGAGAAATGGGGAGAGAAAACATGCACATAGGAAAGAGAGAAGGGAGTGAATGTAGGCACAAAAAACATAAGAGGATTTGTAAAACTAAAAATGAATAGAGAATGACAAATGCATGAGAATAAGAGATACCCATCACGTGGACCCAAAATTGTCCATTCCATCCCTCTATTCATTCTCTAATTTGGCCACTTCTATATATTTCCAATCTCATTGGACTTAACCCCAATTCCACCCCCCAAATATTTCCCCATTCCAATCAATCACCTCCCTATTTTATTTAACATCAATTTCAATTTCATATATGGCACCCCGTCGAAATCGATGTGGTACTATTTCAACTTCCATAGATATATATATGCATAACTAGCTACAGTATTTACCGAAACAAATCAATTCATCTTTATGTAATATTATATTATGTAAATGGATTTGTCATGAAATATATATAAGAACAAAATACAAGTTATAATGAAGTACAAAGTAAGAAGGTTTTGTCCATATTTAAACAATATGTTATTTGAGATTGTTGAGGAGTAATTTCGAACATTTTAAAACTATGCCTAATGTCTCCCATACATATAAATTTATGGGAATATTAATTTCATGTCAACTTTATGGTTTTTACCTGCTAATTAAGTATCCAAACATTACTTTGCACTAATCAAGTTTGCCAATCAGCTCTATATGGATTTATACCAAACAACATGATTGGAATATGAAAGGAAAAAAAGTTGAGACATTTACTTTGGTAGCTAGCTAGCCTAGTGCCCCACAAACCAAATTTTTATTAATCGAAACATGTTCATATTTTTCATTCCTCTTTCCTATAAACAAAGTGCACAAATGGTGTGGTGGGTAAAGGAAAAAATAAAATAAAATAAAATTATGAAATAATAAATTTTGTAGCAAGGTGTTTATTTAGTCAAACATATATGTTATATCTCTCTTTTTTTTTTAGTACAATATGTAGGGTGGGAGATCGAACTCCCTCTTGATTTGAGTTATATGTCAATTACTACTTAACTATGTTCGTTTTGGCTATATCTCTTGAACTTTACCTTATGATTCTATAAGTAGTATATTAATATAATTAACGAAAAGAATTGTTTTTTTTTATTGAATTTACATTATGCGAACATTTAAGCTGAGTTCAATAATGATGGGGTGATAATCAAACCATCCACTTAACACACTGTTTAATTCTCGGGTGAGTTGGCACAAATCAATTCTGCCTTTTCTTCCCAATATTTGTATGGAATTTTCTTGGGTTCTACTTTTTTGTTGAGTCAAAAAGGGGAAGCAGTGAAAATAATGGTATTTTTGAAGGTATTTTTGACTTTAGATGGACAGAAAAGGGCAGGGGAGTGTTTATGTCCCTAATCTTGTAGAATAAGTTGACTATTAATAATTCCTTTGTCCCAAAAAAAGGGAAAGGAAAATCAAATTGTTGACTATTAATTTCACTAGAAATGATTACTTGTGTGGTATAAAGTTAAACATACTACTCAAGTTCCCGGAAAGAAATAAAAATAAAAATACTACTTAGGTTTATAATTGGAATAATTAATTTGTTTAAATCTCTAAATCACACATATCATTGGATGAAATTTAAGCGTGGTTTGGTAATATTCATTTCTTCTCCTTTTTCTTTTTCGTCCTTTTTTGTTTATTCAGCATATCTCAACTCATTAAAACATAACAGTCAAATATTGTTGAAACTCATAAAGTATATAAATATATATATGAGTCAACAATATTTTATGTATTAGATAAATAGATTCCACTTAAATATTTGTATCAAAAAGTCAATATGGTCTGGTGTGGAGGTAGAAATTTTATATTTTCTAAACTTTATAATTTAAAAGCATGGATATATCAATAATAGGAAGTGTGACACGTCATACACACCTTTTGTTTTTTTTTGTCTACGTCATTATATTTTAAATCGTTGAACTATACTCGGGTTCAGGTCTATGGTTTTTTAATATTATTTATAATTTAAGAAAGGGGAGTGAGATACCAAAATAATAGTAGTAAGATGATGGCGATGGGGGACATCGGTGTTGACATATAATTTATTGTGTGTTGATGTTGAAAGGATATTATTGGTTGGTTAGGGGAAATAAATATGAGACTGGAAACAGGGAATCTGCTCATTAATTATTTTATTTATTATTATTTTTAGGGAGGGAGTGGAAGGCGTGCGCATAAGGGAATGATGAAGGTGTGTGGGTGTGCCCCCAAAAAAATTACATTATAAAAATTAAAATAAATAAAAAGAAACAGCAGAGGAATTGGCCACTGTCACTCTTTTCTTTTTCTTTTTTATTTTTTTTCTCTCTCTCTCCATTGATATTCTAAACTCCCAAACACTATGCTCTTTCGCACGCACTGCTATGCCTTTTTCCCTCTCTCTCTCTCTATTTTTTTAATATTACCA